TGTGCTTGAAACTGGTCCCTGGTACAAAAAAGGTTGGGGACCACTGTATTAGACCCATCAGTTAACAGAAATCGTTTTTGTCCTCTGTGTTTGTAGGTGCCAACATGTGCCCTTTGGGAGAATTCAAGGCATGAAAACTCGACAAGGAGAAGTGATTTTCTTGGAAGATGTTTTAAATGAAACGTGTTCCCTGGTATTAGAAAGAAGTGCTTCTTCAAAAAGTTAGCCAATAAATTTTCTCTGATAAATTAATATTTTATTCTGGTTCTAGAAAAAAGACTATGTGTGTTTTACCACTTTATGGTACAGTTTAAGCCACAATTAGTTCAGCTTCTTTTGCTTTCTATATAGGGATTTCAATTTTTTTTAAAAAACCTCTAGTAATAAAATATGTTTAAATAATCAGGAAAATAATTCAGCCTTTACCAATAAAGACATCAATCTTTTTTTTCATTCTACTCTGTCAGTCAGTGAAATTACATCCTTTTTCAAGACTTCTTTGACTAATTTAGTTTTTTCAATTCATATTTGTTTGTTTCCTTATAGAGGATACTTTACTATTTTGATGCATTTTGTTTCATTTTTTCTCTCCTGTATCTATCAGTTGTAGGCTTTAATATCTGACACTGTTTGGATAGGTCTCTAACACAATTCTAAATTATTTCTCTAAAAGATAACATTAAACACGAACCTAATTGCACAAGCCTCCATTCATTTTCATATGTAATGATACACAGTATAGAGTTGAAGAATATTGGAAACTTCATACAAACAATTTAAAAGACTTCTGGAATCATTTTGAAAAATAAAGTTATTTAATCATTGCTGAAGCCACAGTATGTTAGTATTGTAAAAGGAAGCTGAACCTCCAAGCGTTTTTTTTTTTTTAAATTGTAGTGGGATACAAATCAAATAAATAAATTATGAAATTATGTATATGTGTTTTCCAGATTTTGTTAACTATAGTCAAGATACGATGAAGAGCATGTTCCTATTATCTCCTTTAACTAAGTAGACCGCTTCATAAAGGGCTTCAGAACCAGCTTCTACCAGCAGCCTTGTGTACCTGTTGGTGAAATAATGGCTTTTCTCCTTTTATCTGGCCAGCCACAAAGGAATGTGACAATCCTTCTGAGACCGCAGAACGGATTGGGCTCGCAGCACTTATCATTCAGGTCTGTCATCCAATTAATGGCAAGATGAGTTTCAGGAATGCTGAAAGCTCTCTACTCAGTTCTTGACTGATTTGTCATTTCAGGACTTCAAAGGCCTTTTATCTTCTGATTATCGGTTTAACTGGGATCACGTTCTTCAAAGCAAAGGCGATACAGGTGTCTTCTTGCAATATACACATGCCAGGCTGCACAGGTATTGAGGGATGATTTGGGCCCCATTTTTTTTCTAAGTTGGCCTTCATCTGCGTCAGAATGAAAGTTACAAGTAAAGGGGATTGGGAACTTTTCTGCTGTGGCTTCAGTGTGCTTAAATAAGATGAAATATATAGAACAGGCAAATGGGCAAGTTTTACTAAAAAGTTCCATCCATTTCATATAATGGAACTTTCTCCTTTTCTTCTCCCAAAGCACATATCTGCTTTGAAGAGTTCTCATAATTCCTATGAATACAACTGTAGAGTGCTGTATTCCAAGAGAGGCTGCAGAAGAATTTTCAGTAATAGAGAGTAGATCTGGAGTATAGCAATGGAAACAATACTAACTTTAAACAGGCAGCAGAACTCAACAGAATATAAAAAGAATTAAAGAACATTTTTAGACTTTTTTTAATGTATAGAATATAATATTTAATCCTGCTATAATTGCTCTGTTGTTTATATATAGTCCACCAAGAAGCAAAGAACTATTTTGAATATTTCGTACTTTCCCTTTTCTTCTGAAACTACAACTTTGCAGTTTGCTTTGTAAATCTTTTGCAGTGATCAGTCAAATGCTTGTACCAATGTACCATTTCAACAAAACAACTAAGGTTCTTTTAAGATTGTGCTGTTGTAATGGATAGTCATAAACTACATGGAGACTCTGTGCTTACTGACTTGAGCTCCTATAGGAAAGGCAGCTTATCAATGAAATAAATAAATAAGAAATTTTCAGAGGTATTTAGACCAGGCCTGTCAAACTGGCAGCCCCATGGGCCGGATGCATCACATGCAGGCCACGCCCATCCTGGCTCTGCATAGCCAAAAAAATGTCATGATACATTATGTGACAGGATGGAATTTGACATCCATGATTTAGACCATCCGTGTTACTAACAGTTTTCTCTTCCTCTCCCTAGTTTAGAAGAAATATGTGGTACTGTCAATCAAGGCACTCCTGTGAATACTGCTTGTTTACAAGATCCACTAGTAATATCCTTACTTCAGCATCTTCTCAGGTACTTCAGCAGTTTCTAATGCAGTCTTTGCAGATAGAACAGCACTGAACACCGTTTGTATACTTTTTGTTAATTATGTTTGATCTTTCTATGCAACAGTTCTTGAAGACAGTTAACTGCCTATCCAAGTAGATAGCTGGTTTAGAATCCACAGAATGCTAATTATAGCCTAGAAAATTTGGAAAAGGAATATCATTATTTGAAGTGTTTTTACTTTATTTCCTTGCTAAAGGTCTTCTTAGAATTAGTCTAAGGAAATAGCCAGAGTGTTAAGTATGCTTTATATTCCATTGGCATTTTGTTCATCTGTGATGCCTACGAAATGGATTGTGGTATATATTAGCTTTTGTTGTTTGGAACAGCAAGCGTTTTAAAGTGCTTCAGGCTATTCATAATGTGCAGTGTAATGCCATGTAGATTAAACTGCAAGTGTGCCCAGCTGCGCTTATTGAGTTATAGGAGATATTTTGGGGTAATATTTACCAAAATATATATTTTAAAGATATGTAAATGTATAAAACAAAAAAGGCAAGAAACAAAATATCTTACCTTTGGGCCTGTGAACACTGCACAGTCCAATGAATTGGATCTGCAGAAAGAACACAGTGTTAGGAATAGCAAAAGGCCTTGACAGTGACAAAAGTAAGGTTGCTTAAAGCCTTCCAGGTCTTGAGGAGAAATGGAGGGAAGACAGAATAGCTTGTTAGTTTTCTTCAGGGCTGGGATTCCAACCAGTTTGGTGAGCATGGCCAGGTGGGCGTGGCCATGTGACTGGGTGGGCATGACTTTTTTTTTTGCAGAGCCCCTCCCCTCCGGTTTTTCTGAGCCTCCTGGGCCTCAGGGGAGCCGGAGAAGGCTTTTGCTCCCAGAAGGTTTTCCAGAAGGCTTCTCTGGGGTTCAGGAAGGAAAAAAACAAGGGGTCCCTCTTCCTAGGGGGGCGTTTTTGCTCCCAGAAGGTTTCTCTGGGGCCCAGGAAGGCAAAAAATGGACCTCCATTTTTGCCTTTCTAGGCCTCAGGGAAGCCTCCTGGGTGAAGCAGTAAGACAGTGAGGGGAATCCTGGCATAGCTGATCGTAGGAACAGCTGTTTGTTGGGAGGGGGAAAATAAGAAATACCTTAAGGAGTGATGGGCAGGGAAGAACGCAGTCAGCAATGCACGTGATGTTGCGCATGCGTGATATGGACTGACTGGGCGGGGAGGGGAGGGGCAGGTGGAGAGGGGCAGGGCCAGCCAGGGGCACGATTTACTGGTTCTCCAAACTGGGCAGAATCATAACAACCGGTTCTATAGAACCGGTCCGAACCGGTAGAATCCTACCCCTGGATTTCCTCACCGAAAAGGAAATAAGGAAAGAGCAGGCAAGAGCATTTAGATAAGCCACTGATTAGCTAGTAATAAATATGGGATTCTGCTATTGCAACATAGTATTTAAGGCCAAAAACTAAAAAAAAAAAAAATCTTGCTCATCTTCCACCATCCCCCATACTAAAAGAAAAAAGAAAAAAAAAATATGACTCTATTACTCCAATATTCTCAGCAAATACAGGGTCATTTGAGGAAATAATCTAGCCACTTTTTCAGATAAGCAAAATTGTGGTTAATTGTATGACTGGTACTGAACAAAAGCTAGTGTATATATAGCAGCTATTTGATAGCATTTTTTTTCCTGGGATAGTTACTCCAACTGTGGAGGTTTTAAAATGAGCTCTTCACTCTAAGTGGCAGGTGTGCTCAAAAATCTGACCTCATATGACAGTAAAGCTGGAATAGAACTTAGATGTGAATGTTCCCTGGGTAGCTTGTGTTTTTTTGAATCAAATGCTCCTAAATGTGTTCCTTTCTCCCTTCAGATATGATGAAATTATTTATCAGTCTTCACAAGATCATCAGCCGAAGCATATTGTTAATTATCTGTTTAAACTCAGGTAAAAGAAACAAATGTTGGAGCCCTTGAACAGAACAGATACATTGCTTTTAAAAGTATTTAGCCTCAAAGCAGATAGTTGGATATAATCAAATGCTGTTTTTTCGAACTGAAGGCTTCAGTGTGGTGATGAATGGAGGTGATGGATTAGGCATGAGGAGATTAAGGTCCAAGTCCATCCTCAACCATGGAAATTCATAGGTGATTCTAAGTCAATCAGTCTTTCAGATCAACCTACTCAACAGCTTTCTGTTGGCATGAAATGAAACATTCAAAAAATCCTTTTACATTTTAATAATGCCCATCAATTTCAAAATCAATGCCTCATTAGATCAAAAAATAGATTATGTTCTTGAAAACCTTCTTTTAAATAATTTTGCTTCTTCTGGCTTACTTTCCTAGCTGTAGGTTAACGGTTGACTAATGATTTACATAATATCAAAGAAGATCTGGTTTCTGCAAATTTAATTTTCCTATCAAATATTCCAAATGCCTTAAGCATTTTGCTGAATGCTGTACATTATTGTCTTGAGTCATTGGTGGAAAATCAGTTCATGAGAAGCCTTCAGATAAAAAATACCTTTGTGAAAATCAGATGGTGACCTTTCAAGAGATCATAAAAAGAAACTAGTTTTTCTTGCTGAGATACATTCCATTTCTAAACATGACATTTCCTGGAACAACCTACCAGAAACAGGAAAACTTTTTAAGCCTGGGAGCAAACTTATACTTTTTGTGATTTTAACAATATTTAAAGGAATGAACACTGAAGCAAAATCCTAGCTAGCCAGCTGTGCCCTTTCAAGGGTATTTTATTCCCTCACACCTGTATTTTTCATCCCTTGCAGTAGTTATTCAGAATCTCATGGGTATTGAGCATGCTCAGTCTGATGGGGCTATTTTATCCCTAGAGTCTTACTATCTGGTGTTTTAAAGGTTGCTTTTATCTCTCGTGTACATACGTGGCATAATTTTGTTTTCATAGATATCTCAAAGGATGAAATTAAGATTCATATATATTATACTGTGCAGCAGATGGGCTTGGATAAAAAGCTGACATTAGTGAAAAGAAAAAAAATACAGTGTTCCATTAATGACTGTGTATATGGTATGTCAAGATTAAATTGAGACACCATTACCATTAGAGAAATATGCAACAAATTTACCTCATTAGTGAATTAAGCCATGTTATAGTTTTGCATAATACATTGACTCATAAGCTATCCAACCAGTCACAAGTCACGAATAGAGTTTAAACTGATTGTTCAATTGGTTGTGCATATGTAACCACTAGATGTTTAACTGGGCTGGCTATACAAGTTATAGGAAAGCAGCCAATATACAAGGTAAAATTCAATTTAAAGTGAGTCAGCACAGCCTTTCCAACCTTGTATCCTCCAGAATGTTAAAACAATAATAATCCAGAAATCTTAGTGTTTCTGCCCACTGGGAATTCTTGAAGTTATCCTAACATAGCTAGAATTTACAAGGTTAGGAAAGACTTTTGCAGCAGAGTATACAAAGGCTGGATCAGGCCTTATCTTCAACACAGAACAAGCTTGCTTATGATCAGTGATTATTGTAGAACTTGAACAAAGGTTATGAACATGGATTTCCCCCCTCAAACAGCACTCTTCTCCTTGGTCAGAAACAAGAATTAGCATCCTCTAGCAAGGACTATACTGCAAGGACTATAAGGAGCATATAGAACTGCCATTGTTAGCTAAACAATGGCAGTTCTATATGCTCCATATAGTCCTTGCAGTGTTTTGCCAAAAAAGATGTTCTTATTCCATCTGAAACTTAAGCATGTGTAGCTCACTTAGAAATCAGCACTACTATGTTTGTGGCTGCTTGGTTTAGGATTGCTCTCTTTTGGAAAATGTGTTCTCAGGCTTGGCATTTCTGTTTTAGTCATTTAGTATCTGCAGCTCATAGAAATCTCCCTGTGAAGGGCAGCCCTCTGGAACTCGCTCAGGTAATTTTCTTTTATTATTTATTAAATTTACTGAATTTATATGCCACCCATCTCATGATCCAGCTTACAATACAATAATAATTCTCAGTGATTGCAATGTGTTATCTCTAAGCAGTAAACCTGGAGAAAAACCTCTTGTAGAAAAGTTGCTGTTGAAGGGTGGAATATGAGTTAAAGGAATAAATGAATGGCAGGGTTTTGTATCTGGAAACATGAGAAAGGGAGAATGAAATTACTGCAGTAGCTCAGCTTGTGAACTAGGATGCTGTTCTTTTGAAGGTTGTCCCTGGGAAGCTGTGAATATTGCTTAATATTAGGAGGCCACAAATCAAAAGTCAGCCCCTTCTTATATCCATCAGTACATGCAAAGTATAATTCGGAGTAACAGCTGACTGGGAACTCTAGAAACAGTAAGCTTAAAATACTTGGAATACTACAGGTTGAGCATTTGAGGTTGTTCATCACCGGTTCGATATAGGGGAAAGCTATTTCATACCCTTTTTAACTTTCTGAAAATGGGACTGTCCCTAAATACTGCATCAAGTTTTGGTTACCATACAGTAAAAAGATGTTGAGACCCCAGAAAGAGTGCAGAGAAGAAAGATGATTGGGGACTGGAGGCTAAAACATATGAAGAACAGTTACAGGAACTGGGCGTGGCTAATCTAGTGAAGAGGAGGACCAGGGGAGACATGATAGCAGTCTTCCAATACTTGAGGGGCTGCCACAGAGAGGAGGAAGGGGGTCAAGCTATTTTCCAAAGCACCTGAAGGCCAGACAAGGAATAATGGATGGAAACTGATTAAGGAGAGATTCAACCTAGAAATAAGGAGAAATTTTCTGACAGTGAGAACTATCAACCAATGGAACAGAAGTTGTCTTCATCACTGGAGGCTTTCAAGAAGAGACTGAACTGCCATCTTGATGTAGGCAGAGTCTCCTGCTTGGGCAAGGGGTTGGACTAGATGGCCTACAAGGTCCTTTCCAACTCTGTTATTCTATTCTTCTCACAGAAGAAACTACTTGCATCAAGAAACTACTTGCATCCAATAAAGGGGGAAAGTTCCTTTGACCAAACAGTGTATATACAAAATCTGCTTTATGCTAATGGGCAGGGTCTCCTTTGGGGAAGTAGAAGACTGGAGGAAATAAAAGAAGTTGCAGATTTATTGGTACAAATGGGCATTTTAATAGTTCTTATTGTAAAATGTTTTTTATACTGCCATAGCAGGGGGAGGGGGCATGAATAAGAACTGTTTTCATTAAAAGCAAATGACAAAAATTGCCATTTCCTCTTCTTTATCTCCCCTCACCCTTTCCCCCCCACTTCAGGCAAGGCTCTGCCTTTTTCACGCTGCTCGCTCTGTTCTAGCCAACGGAATGAAGCTTCTAGGAATCACACCTGTAGATAAAATGTAATAGGGGAACTTCCTTGATGCTTTTCCAATGTATCTCTTATGAAGATTATCTGATCTCTGATTTGGACTTCATGGCCTTTCCAGAGTGGTGGGAATGTTCGGAAGGCGCTGTGGCATGAATTTTCCTTCTCTATAATAAAGCCAGTTCCAGGTTTTATTGGTATTTGAATTAAATGGTTGTAGATGCACCCACCATGTGTGGACCAGGCTGTAGGATTATGGCTGTGACCTGCTCTGAAAACCACTTAGAAATTTCAGCAGTTGTGCAATTGGCACCTAATAGTAGTGCTTAAAAATTAAATCCCATTTTGTATTTTTACAATACAAAGCTTTGTCATTAGGAGAATATTAGAATTGTGGAGCATGTTTTCTTTTGTTCCTCATATGCGTTTGGCTGGAAAGGTGGGCTTTTTTTTTTTTTTAATATAGGCGGTACATTTATTTCTAAAAGCTATCTTGTCATTATGAGTGCTCTCCCTGGACCCGTTTTTGACTGTGATGGCCTCCTGCATCTCTCTGCCAGTGAAAGTGGATCTTCATAGGTGGCCATCACAGCTGAAAACAGGTCCGGGGAGAGCTGTGCACAGCCCTCCTGAGCTCCGTTTTCACTGGCAGAGGCACTGCGGACTGGTGCTTCACTGTTTCCAGGGCAGCACCGCGGGCCAGATCTAAGCACCCCAGGGACCAGAGCCAACACCCCCCCCCGGCCTTGAGTTTGACACCCCTATTCTAGTGTAATTGCTAAAAAAAATGATAGTAACTTCTACTTATTTTCTCCCAGTAATCTCTGCAAATAGGCTTCCACATTTGGTTTCTCTGCACTTATTCCCCTGTTCTGTTGTCCTTTTTCTTCCAAATGCTCAACAAATAACTACAGGTAGTCCCCTCGACTTAATTGAGTCTAAAATTTCCATTGCAGTTAAGTGGGTTTTGCACCATTTTCCGACCTTCCTTGCCACAGTTAAGTGAATCACTGCAGTTGTTCAGTTAGTAACCTGCTTGTTAAGTGAACCTGTCTTCCCCACTGACTTTGCTTGTCCGAAGGTCTCAAAAGCTTGATCCCATGACCCCAGGATGCTGCAACCGTCATAAATACATGCCAGTTGCCAAGCATCCGAATTTTGATCATGTGGACCACAGGGATGCTCCAATGGTCGTATGAAAAAAAAGCCATGTCACTTTTCTCAGTGCCATTGTAACTTCAGTCATTAAACAAATGGTTGTAAGTTGAGGACTACCTGTATACAGCATCAAAAAATACACCAGGTGGTATTCAAAATGTATCTTCCATTTTGCTTTTTCCTCCCCTTTCATATTCATTTCTTGTCCAAAGTTGGGTAAGGCGCTTTTACAACATTATAATGACTTCCTCCAAATTCTGGGCAAAGTAGGGCCAATCATTTCATTTAGAGTCAGACAATCTAAAACAGAAAGAACTCTTATGCTCTGTTCATGACCAAATTGGAAGTAGATACACTTGCTGGCTTTAAGGTTAAAAATCACTTCTTGGCATCAGATTGATCAGGTTCTCATTCAAGCCTTAGTTTGGTTGGTTCCCTCTGTAATAACTCGATTTACAGAAGTTATGCATTTTAATTTCTTAAAACCTCATTTTGGAAAACCTGCTAAAAGCTTTAAAAATGTTTATCTCTCAATGATTTCAGTATAAAAGTAAGTTGACAAAAATCAGGAAATACAAACCTAAATATTTAATCCATAGGGTTTGTTCCCCTTCTCTAAAACAAATTTAATCAAATATTTTTTAAAAAATCAAATTTTAACAGTGCACAAACTAGCCATACTGCACAAGAATGTATGTATTTACTAGTTAATTCAATGCAGGAGTAAATGTATGTACATTTATCTATCCCCTTCTCTTTTACAATAGAAAATTCTTCAAAGAAATCACAGTGTTTTTTTTTCCTTCCTGTGGTTTTTCAAAAAGTTGTGATCCTGGCTTCAGGATATTAAAAAATAAATTACCATTTTCAGTTTTAAAGCTCCAGTAACAGCATTCTTCTATCTCACAAACTGTCACTGTGTTTTTTTTTCTATTGTAACGATGATTTTTTATCATTAAAGCAATATAGCACTTGCCTGGATCTTCATGTCAGGAATCCATGGAGAAAAAGATGCCTTCCTTCCAACATAATTTTATGTTGTTTTGGTCACATTTAAATTTGAATTACCCTTTCCTTGCAAACACAAAGCATTTCTGGCAACAAAGCCTACATACAACGTTACAACATAAAGAGTAAATTCCAGGGCCATTTCCCTATTTATGTATAACTGTGCCTTCCATTCCTTCTTTTCCACACAAGGCATCTTCAATAGCAAAAGACCAAAGTTTATAAGGAAAAGTGAGATTCTACAGATTAGCGAAGAATCTCCGTCCAGTGTAGATTTTCATCCAATGAATAACTGACTTTGTTTTTAGTTCCATCAGAAGCTTTCCATGAAGAATTGAAGGCTTTCTTTCAAAAAGAAAATTGAGGGTAGGGACAGGCATACAAACTGTCTCTTTTATTTTGTATTGCCTTTCTATTGTTCACGAAGACAGACATCACACACTAGTAAGATTCCCTTTTGACGCTTTTGTTTCTGCTGGCTGGATTTTTGTTGTATCTTGTCGAGGCAATCCATACAGATATATTGAAACACAGACAAGCAGTGCCCCCAGAGAGAAAGTTATAGCTGGAAAGGAAAAAGAAAACACACAGTTTAAAGTATGTTGCTCACAGTCTCATCACTGAAAATAAAAAAGTCTGATTTGAAGCTTTAGATTATGAATTCTCCAAATGTTTTGTTGGTTGTGTTTCACTGCTGAAAAGTAGTTTTCATATCTTGCTACAATCTACTTCCATTTTACAGCTTCTGGAAGAGGCATTATATTAGTAAATATAGGGATACCTCAGTACTTGAGTGCTTCAAATCTCATCAAATTTGATACTCACTGAATGTGAATGTAAAAATGTCCCAGTACTCATCATTTGTTTAGTACTTGATGCACTGAAAAGGGAAGTGAGGGGACAGCTGCAGAGAGTGAACAGGAAGTAAACCATGCTGGGAAGGTCCCTGAAAAAGGAAGTGGGGGACAGCCACGGAGGACAGACAGGAAATCAGCCATGCTGGGAAGGCCGTCGGCATAGGAAAAGGGACAGAAGTCCTTCCTGGCTGAAACAAAGGGTCATGTGGTGGTGTTTTTTTTACTACTCATCCTTTTTAGTATTCGTTGCGCCTGCCAGAACCAATTAAAGACGAGGACTAAGGTACCACTGTGTAAGTGGCAACTTCATCTTAAGTATGACTGAGACCTGAAGAAGATTGAAAAATTCTTCACATTCACCTTCACTTCATGACTGCAAGATTAAGATTCAGCTTGCTTATACGGGTAGTCCTTGCTGAACGACTGTCTTCATTCAGTGATCATTCAAAATTATGATTGGTGCTGAAAGAATAATTTCATGGCCAATGCTCACATTTAGGACCTTTGCAGCATCCATCAGTTTTGTGATCACCACTGCAGTCAGTACATGTTGTCCTGTGCGTAACCTGCTATTCTTTTTCTCCTCCCTTGCAGAGTAGAGATTGGAGAGGAGGGGATTACAAGAGAGTAAGCAAACACACAATAAGGACATCTGCACTGAGCTGTTTGCACAGCATGCAACTGCATTTCTTTCAATGAGTATTCCCCATTGTGTGCCTGCTAACTCTCTTGTAATCTCTTCCTCTCCAATGAATATAAATCCAAATGTTAATTCTCTTCTGCTTAATTATCCCAATGCTGGGGTGAGCATTCCAAAGGGTGGGGAAAAGAAATGCAGTCATGGTAACTTCCCACTTAAAAAGTCTGCTTCACTTAGCAACAGAGTTGTTGATCCCAACTGAGATCGTTAAACAAGGACTATCTGTATGAGAAACAACTCTTGTCATTTCATAACAATCTTATAGAAAAATATTTTTTCAGTGGAATCAATGAAACATGATAAAATACATTATAAATACATAATGTTTGAATGTGATAGGGATCAGATCACCCTGGAAAAATAATTCAAGACAAGATAATCTGGTCATTTTCTTTGTGAAGCTACGTAAATGGTGTTAGCAGAAGAATAAAGCTGGTAGGTTATGAGTAATTTAACCCGGGGTCCTCAACCTTTGATCCATGGACCGGCACTGGTCCACAGTATGCCAGCATCTGCTCTGCACAAACAAGTGAAGCCCCATCCACAGGAATCAGGCAGCACACAAATCACATTCCCCTCCAGTCCACACACACACAAAAACTTCTCTCCATGGAACTGGTTTCTGGTGCCCAAAAGGTTGGGGGACACTGATTTAAACCATGTAACCATAGTAATGTATCACTGATTGCAAACTATCCCACTGACATTGTGGATCATAAATGATTTAATGAAAACCTAAAATAGTCCAAAGTAACTTACTGATTTGTAAACCGAAGAGAACGACTGATGCAACCGTAGACAGCACTATGGCTGCTGCCGCTGAAAAACCTTTCAAAATGTTGTCTGTGTATTTAACAACAACCGAAGTATAGAGGCCCCCAACACTGGAAAGAACTAGGACAAAAAAGAGATGTGGTTATGCCCCATACGTTCTGGCAAGGTAAAAAGAACTTTTACAGCATTTATTTGGAAGGATGGGCAAGAGAATTTCTTGTTGAGTAACAGTTTTGTCAACCCAACTGCATGACTGGGTGACATAGTCTGTACCACCATCTGGAGATTATATTTGCAGTTGATAATCGGTATTTACCCCATAACCACCCAACCTGATTTGGAATCTAAAGAATGGATTGGCATTGGGGGGGAGGGGTGTTGTTTTATTGCTTAGCCTCCATACATCACAGACAGTAGGATGGGATAACTGAAGGAAACTGAACTAAAAATAGAGTTTATGTCAGCCTTGTGAGGAAGTCCAGACAAGAAGCAGAACCAGAAGTACTAGCTCTAACTTTACTGTAAGATTATATTAACAGAATCTTGCAAATCCCCACACCTTGCCTTTACAGTCCAAGAATTTTGGGAGGGACTTTTCTTACACATTTATTTCTTATTTCTGACCCTTATTTCTTCGGCAGGCTAAGCTGTCACTTTTCTGATTGTTGTCTAATCTGTGGTTCTGCCTTCTATCT